AGAGCTGCCCAAGTTCCGTGAAGTGTGTCTTGCTCTTTCTCTGGAAATTACTTAGCCGATCGTAGGCAGCGCATAATACGTGCACGCGCATAAATAGCGGATTATGCGAGAAAGGTTCCCCGGAAATGTCTCCGTATACGCTTTTCAAAAAGTGAGATAGTCGTCCGTCATCACCATGTGAGAACAGAATTCTGGGCATATACTTTTGACTTAAAACAGTTTTGACACGGCAGCGATATCCATGGCCGAGAGCATGTAGGTGATGGGTAATTCCCTATCCACTTCGTCGACTGCCATAACGGTCAACAGCTTGATGTTGTATCTTCATGTATTACGAGTGTCGTTCAAGCTTACGCCCTCCGATAAATACAGTTGGAGCCATCTCAACTGGATAGGCGTTCAATGAGACAAAACTCATCGTCGCTCTCCGTTGGTGGAATGTAAAAGCTGAGAAGTCCATAAGGTCGTTTTCTCTTCAACGCGAATACCGACAGATTTTAAATCATTTTCATGTCTTTTTCCAGTTTAAATGTTGAGTGATCTCGCTATGTTCCCGACGTCTTAAGACGTGCACCAGTATAAGAGATTTGTTCGTGTGAGAATCTTGTTTTTCAACAACATTCCTATATTTCATTGATGTTTGAATGGGAAAGAGGGAGACACTGTGGTTGAAGCTGGTGCCCCAGATGATTTGCACAAAACTCCACATTTATACTTCAATTTGCAAGATTTTTCTTCAACTGAAATGTAGCGCTTTGCACAACGCTAAGTAAGTAGAGATTGAAGATCCTTCTCCCTCTCAGAAAGGCTGCATATGATTTAGTTACAATTCTTGGATGGGGGCAGCGCAACCCAGTAGACCTGGTTTTGACTTCTTTAGACGGGCATACGTGACGTATCTTCAATTATATGAGTGTACGCGGCGTATGCTTCAATGCAATACACGTCGTTCGCAAGTGTAGCCCGGGTAGTAGCTCATTTGAAAAGAAAACTTGTAATCAATGAAGTAAGTAACAGTGGACTTTCTCACTCTGTTATCAAATTGGGATGTTTGAAAGTCATAGTCAATCAGATCCTGTGTAAGGCATTATACGGTGATATATGATAAATATCTCTACTTCTCAACATTTTCACATCCATATCCTGCTGATCCATATCCTGTTCGTGCTGATCCACATCCTGCTCGCGCTGATGACAATGTAGAACAGCCCCTTTTCAGCACGCCGGCGCTGAAAAAAGGAGACTCGTCTTCCTCTAAAGCGACTGTTAGGCTAAGAACAAAATATGCTTATTCGTACTCAACTTCGAGTTTTAATTTTATCTGGTTCCTTGTATTCACCGGAAAGGGACACAGGCACAGACAGTGAAGGTGATAAAAAAGATGACCAGCTTCTACACGATCCCGCGTTTGCTACATT